TTTTTTTTTAATATAAACATTTGTTTGCTACTTTTATGATTTTTTGTCTAATTTCTTCAAATCCAGTAACAATTTCCACTGCCTTTGCTCACATTTTATATGTGTTGCTGCTGTTGCAATTACGGTTGCTGCTGGCGTTGCTGTTGCTGTTGCTGCTCCTTGTTAATTTTGCTGCGACTGCTGCTGTTGTTTTTCCAGTGTTTCTCATGGCTGTGTTATCGCTGATGTTGCTGCTGTTATTGTTGCTTCAATTCGCGTTGCTGTTGGACACTCTGGATTTACAATTGCTGTTACACGGCAGCCTTTTCAGGTGTTTAATAGTTGTCGAGTTCATTTGCAATATGTGGGCAAGAGGGAAATGGAGGGGACATTAAGGGAACGGCTGCGGGCAAGTCAACTGAAAAATGGCGAATTCAGGGCGGGGGTTGGCATTGTTGCTTTAATAGGCCGCTGGCCATGTGGCTGCGCGGTTTACCGTCTCTGTACTGCACGGTGGAAAAAGTGATGCACATAATTAAAATCTGTATTTACAAAAAAATGAAAAATTTACTTACAATATTAAGTTTTAAATTCATTAAATCGATACTTTAAAGAATGTAAATTAAAAACAAACTGTTTTAGCGTACTTCATTTTATAATTAATTTTAAATATTATAGCACTTTGCTTTTGTGGAAATAATAGGTATCACTGTATTTTATTAAAAGTTGATTTAAAATAAACGTAAATTGTTAATGACCACTTTTTATAACTTAAAATGAAGATTTATATATTTTGATTTTAAAACTTTAATTAAATTAATTTTTTATAATTGTAATAACAACTTTTTAGCAACAAATAGCAACCATGAATGCCATATAATAAAGAAAGTTTTCGTGTATGTTTTTCTAAGTGTACTTCTTTCCAGGATTCCTGGATTCTCAGCTTAAATTGCCATCGACAGGTGCTCATTGCATTCATTGTACAAACTCCCAGTAAAGCAGTCATTTTCCTCAATGTGTGTGTGCAGGATTGCAGGCATTATGCGTCATGATTGTCCTTTTCGGTTTCTGTGGTTTTCGTTTTTCATTGGACAAACTTTTGCATAGATAGACTGAGTTGAGTTTACCAATTATCAAAAATAGAAATTTAATTATACATTCCGAGTTTGTATGGCCCCATGAAATTGGAAATTTTCTCGCTCACAGCCCCGGAGACAATTTCCCTCAAAAAAAAGCTTCCAGAGACTAAACCGTTGCAAATTTTGTTTGTTTGTTTTTCTGGCTCGGATTGAGTCTTGTGATTCCATTGGTTTGTGTACTTTGAAGTACTTAAATGCTTATAGAAAACTTGCAGCAATTGAGATTGCGACAATGATACTGGGTAACTTGTGAAATTGCTTAGTGCTGGGATAACCATTTCTATTTAAAAAATGATGTAAAGTACAGTATTTATAAAACTTAATGATGACCATATTTCATGTATTAAGTTTATTTTTCATAAAAAGCGAATATTATAAACATTTTCTTAACAAAATAACTAATCTTAATAAGTATTAAAAAAAAATATAAATTAGTTATAACGTAAAATAAATACTTATATGTTCATTATAAATTGAATTTTGCTTTCTATTTAAAAATATTTATTCACAATTATTTACATCGAAGAACAAGATAGTTTTTAAATTAATTTCAACTATAAACACATCACTGACTATTTTCTACATGGACAAGGAACTAATTGAACTTCAAATTTGTTTAGGATATTATGTACATAAATTATATTATATACCCCATTGCACAAATGTTGTTCAAAGTTAGGGTTGTGGCAATTTAATAAATTCTCCAAATGAGCAAAAATGAACGTGCAAATATTAAAACAAAGGAAACACGAAAACTGACTCTTTCGAGCAAGTCCATAAATATGGTATTAGAATCAGGCGAACAGACTCGTTTATCGCCACAGTTACGAACACCCACAATTAAATTGTGGACAGATATACTTGGATATCCTCAGATTGAGCTTGCATTACGTTGGCCCAGCTCGTTGATTATGTAATTAAGGTCTTTGCTGGCAGTGTCCTTAAATCCTTGGAGACGACTCATTAATAATTGCAATGGTCGATTGAAACTTAATAGCGTTGATTGCGACTACATTTTTGGGCCAGGCAAATCGGGCAAACTTTCATTCTTTTGGCATCAGTCCCAGCCCCAGACGTAGCGTCCTTTGGGTCCTGCGCATATCCTTGTTATTACGGTTATGACTCGAACATTGCTGCTAATCACACTCGGAGGCATTACACACATTGGATTCGAAAGGCAAATAATAGCGCACAAGAGCTGGGTGGGTGGCAAATGGCAAACGGCAAATGGCAAACGCAAACGGCAAATGGGTGGGAATTCTCGGCCAAATTATTCCTTATTGAGGCAACAGGCAGCAGCTGTGGGTGTTTTTCTTGTCTTCGCATCTTACTCATTTGGTTGTAACTCTGGCAACCTTTGACCGCCTTTCGCTGTTGTTGCTGCTTTTGCTGAATCTGCTGCTGTTTTTGCTGCCCTGTGGCCTTTGGAAGCGGCAAAATAGCAAAATAGAACAGCAAATTGAAGCAAAGGAACGTCTCGACCCCGTCGCCCTCCATGGCGGATTCTGTGGCCTCATACAATGCGGCTTTTGGTCTCAGTTGTCCCAGCTCCTGATGCAAAAACGCAGCCATGTCGCTGCTTTGCTTTTTATTCCTGTGTTTCGCAGGCAGCACTTTTTTTCGCCAGCATTTCAAGCTGGCAGACTCGAAGGATACTCTTTGGACAAGGTTAATTGGGTGTTTACGTGATCATATCGATTTTAGTAAAGGCTGTCAGTTTGGAGTTGCATCTATTGCAATATTGCTTAAAAGCGTGCATCAGTATTTTTCAGCATTTCATAAATGTTGCAAAGACGAATAAATAATAAAATAATTGAATGCTCAGGCGATTCATTTTTTTTTATTTATTTATACAATTTGACATAACTGTTTAACAATTTTATGCTAAAAATGTATTTATAATAAGCAACAATATTGCATCGGTCAACTCAACGTATATTGAATATGTATTAGATATATTAATTCTGGGATTTAATCGTTTTTATTCTTGTAAAAAAAATGTTATGTTTATTTTACATAATCGGTTAATTTAAAATAATTGTGGGGTTTTGATTGCCTTATTGAAATCAAATAATAAATAATATGATTTTTTAAATCATATATTTGTTAAAAAGTAATATATCAGAAAGTTTAGACGGTCTTGCAGCACGCGAAACATAAAATTAGCCTCTGAAATGTTCTGATATGGTGTATAATTCTCAAATGTGCCAAAAAGTTGTTAATTTTAATCAAATTCAAAGACTTTCCGTCGAAAAGTAAAAAACCGAATCCCAAAGGAAACATCAAATCGCTTGAGGCTTAAAGCAAACCACATTCTCAACATTTTTAAAAACAGTTTCCACAGTCTGATCCAAGAATGTCAGTTGACATTTCACCAAAAAGGAACCAGACGGAATAAAATAAAATATTATGCGAAGAAGCCGAACAAAAATAAAGACAGACTTTGTTGTCCTTGTCAGCGTGGCTACAACTTCCTTGGCCCAGGACGACGTCGGAAGTGCCAGCGGAAATGAGTAAAAAACCTACAACTCACTCAAAGTATCCGCTCCTTCTCGTCTCTCCCACTCGAATAAAGGGAAAATGTTATTTTGAGTGAAAATCAGGCCACTCACGAGCCCACTTCGGCTGTGATCGGGTGGTGCTTCGTGTTTTCACTCACCCGAATTTGAGCGTTTGTGGAGCATTCCCAGAAATGGCAACTTTTGGTGGGAAAAAAGCTATAAATAAAATTTAAATTTGAAAAGTGAATGATTACGTTGCTTATTTTTAGATTAATTTTATACTGTTTATACTATTTAACATATTATGCAAATAATTTTAAATGTTATTTGACTTCTATAATAGATTCCTGATAAAAAAAAATTTTTTTTTCAAAACATAAACTTCACTTTTGTTTATTGTGTTAATGAGTAGGCTGTTTTGTTAAATCAATACTAGAAGTGCTGATTGACAATTAAAAAAAAATAAATAATTTCCTCAATATCAATCGAGATAAATATTTTGTTTTTCTTGTAATATGACTTCCGGAAAGGTTAGCCGGTTGGAAGAGTCAGCCTATAGCAACATTATTGCCGCTGTAAACATCTTCAATACACGCGATAGTCGGATTTCCTGAAAGATGGAACTGGGAAAGCGAAAGCAAGAAACGGAATTTCGTGAGATATATCCTTACTGGCAGCCTACAAATAGTACGAGGTGCCAAGTATTTATTATGTTTTACTTCAGGAGCCTCAAATTCCAAAAGGAAAGGTGATTTTTGACTAATCAAATATTGCTAAATGTAGTTTTTACATTTGAATTTAATTAGTTATTTAAAGCTTTATGGCGTTCACATATCAATCCCATTATTTGGCTGCAGCTTAAGCATTGCATTGAGTTCAAACATAATTGTTATTCCCACTTGAGTTTATTTACACGACAAAGGAATTAAATACGAAACAAAGAATTTACTTCTTTATTTTGTTTAATTATATACTTTTGTATAAATGTATATCAAAATAGTTATTTGTGGTGTAGTAAGTTTACTTTTACTATAAAGGCCGTTTTGATTACAAACTGATGAGCAAGTTTTTGAAATGGTGTCTTTTAATATTTAAACTTCGTCATATTATTCAAATTAGTTGATTATAGGTTAATTAAAAAACATTTTTAGAAATTTCTGTAAAATCACAAATAGAAGGTTAAATTTCTAACCAACATCAGCTTGTAATTTATATTTTATGATGGCTATATTAAAAGGTAGCAATAAGCATAAATGTTTTGTTAATGACCAAACAAGCCAGATTTGGCGGGAAAACCAGCTGACTGGGCAGCGCTGACAAGGAGACAGCAGCAGTAGCAGCATCCGCCATGGCAGCGGCAACAGTCGAGCGGCAGACTCGATGCAGCAGAGCCAGATATTCTGGCATTACGTATACGCCCAGTCTACGTCGAGTTGGCCACGTGTACGGACACGCGGCGCGGTTCGCTTTTTCCGGTGGCATCAAATTCGTTACCAACATCTCATTACCAAAAACTTCGCGATTTGGTGTTAATAATAAACAGACAAGAAAGGATTCTGAAATGTTTAAAGTTTATTTTTCTTTAATATTTGAATAGAACCTGTTTTTTTTTTGGTTTGTTTTTTTTTTGTACAAGTGCAAGTAAATGTGTGTGTGTGCAAAGTGTGCCGGCTTGAAAATGCGCGCCAAAAATTGAGAAATTTTCACAAAGCGCAGCGGCAACAAAAACAAGTAAAAACAACACTTTAAAATCGACCGAAGGAGATAAACATAAATAGTAATATATATGTATATAAATTAAATGTAAGCACAAAATTACATATAGGTTGCAGTTTTACAATGTAAACAAATTGCTTTTACGTGATTTCCCTAAAATAACGAGTGTATTTACCAACGTTGGCCAATTAGTGAGTTTGTGACAATATCAATTAGCAAAGGATAACAAATAATACAAAAAATACTCAATTAAACAACTACATAATGTTTAGCAAAGTATGCAATAATACTGTTTGAGCTAACATTAATTAAATCAAGCTATACGCATTTGCTAGCTGAAAGAAATTTGCATAAATTGGTCTTTAATGGGCCAAGGGACCGAATAAACTCTGATTTAAGCTCCTGGTGCCAAAAGTTTTACTGTTTTACCGAAAGTTCAAAGGGGAGGCGTAAGGCAGGGGATGATGAGCATAAAAATATTACTTACGGAAGTTATCCATTATGTGGTTAAAAAGCTCTTTTAAATAATGTCATGTAATTTTTACTAGATGTGCTATATTTATTACTGTGTTTTGGCTAAGAGGATTACAATTCATAGATGCTTGTCTGATATTTTATTATAAGTGTTTCTTTTAAATTTAAATATGACATATTTTTTTAAAGTTTAAGTTCATTGATCCAAAATATTTTGAATAATACATTTATTTATAAATTAATTTATTATCGTTCGTCTATATCTCTTTAATATTTATTTAACAATCAGTGAGTAGATATTTATTGTTAGCATGTCGAACATATTAAAAAATGAAATAGTTTGTTTTAAACATTTTATATCATATTGGATTATTTATTTGTTGATTATTGTTCAAAGAAATGTTTAATTTTTTTTCTTTCGTATTCGTTTGGAAATTTTACCGTATTTTCTGTGTATCCCGTATAGATAAGTTTGGGGCCACTTAGCGAATTGGCGGACATATTTTTAGACATAGCCCAAATAGTAAAAAACAAGAGCACAAGGAAAAAAAGAGGGAAACACGTATAAAAACCGACGACACGAACGCAAAAGCTATAGAGAATCGAAGAAAAATGAGAGAAATTCATTAATAAAAGAAAGCAACAAAAACAAGAGCAAAAATTAAACGGCTACCATCAAGTTTTCCCCTCCTCTTGCCCATTTTTCCCTTCCGTTTTTCCCGCCTTTCCTTGTCCGGCACAGCTGTGATCACAAGAAAAGAAGAGAAAAAATTCGGAAAAATGAAAATGAAAATTATTACATATGCGTAATGGGCATTATGTTGTTGTTGTTGTTATTGTTGTTATTGAAAAAGATTTTCCGAGCTCCGAGCTACAACTACAACAATTTTGATAGCGGCAACTTTGACGAAGGTTTTTCCTTCGGCTTTTCGTTAGATACCCTAGCCACGCATCGTGTATTAAAGGGGATGATGAACTAAGCGATAAAGATTAATTCATCTAGGTTGTGACTATTTTTCTTAATAAATTGTTGACAATAAATCAGTTTACTGAAAGCCTTTAAAACGTGTTAAAGGTTAGGTAATTTTAAGGATTTGTTTGTTTTTTTTTTTTCTGTTACAAATATAAGTGCTAAATTTTCTTCATGTTTATTAAAATAAATTTAACAAAAATGGACAGAAAATCAAAACTTTTTTAATAATGCTTACATTTTTCACTATTCATTGGGTGCATCCTAGTTTTAGTTGCCATTCACTTGGTATTCCTGCGTTTTCTTTATTTTGTCGCTGTCTCAATGAATTCTCTAGACTATCAATATCCCTTTCTCTTTCTTTCAACGAGTATCCGTCTCTTTCTATTGGTGACTGGCAAAGTTTTGCATTATGTTCATCTCGGCTGGCGCTCTTCTATATCCCATTCCCACATATGTGGCTCAAGGCTATCGCAATACACGCACTTTCAGCGCCCTCGTCGATTTCTTAGTTTTATTTCTCATTTTCCATACATTTTTGGTGCTCTCGTTTTGGTTTTCTTTATTTTTTTTTAGCATCTTGCCCTCATAAATTTGGGCGAGGCAAACAAAATGTTTGTGGTAAAGTTTTTTGCGAGGGCTTTGTTGGGGGGACAATGGAATAAATTCTGATGGAAATTAATGCAATGTTGACCCATGCAGCTGATAATGTGAAAAAAGGTTTTATTTAATAAAATGCGATAAGAAATCATAGGTCAAAAGAATTTTGCTTTATACATTTTGTAATATATAAATTGTGACAGGATTTTTTTTCTTCAAATTTACCATTGATTTTATTTTTATTTTTTTTTTTTGGTATCCTTGAATTAAGTTTTCTTTCATTTTTCCCACATTTCTTTGTGCCATTTAGTTTTATCTCTCTGCGGATTCGGTGAAATTACATTTTTTCAATTTTTGGTACCATTTATTTCAATAAAATAAAGCCAGAAGTTTTTGTTGTTAAACCTAAATTTCCTTTTAGGATTTTCCTGCTTTTGGTTAGCTTAACTGTCTTCCGCCTCTTTTGACCACCCATTTCTTTTGTGTCCAGAGCAACAGGTCCTCGTATTTGCTGGGATTTCTTGTTATTTATTTGTCTTTTCTGTATTATTTTCATCTTTTCGTATTATTTTTTGGCCGATTTAAGTGTGGTGCAAAAGGCTTTTTTGCATTGTGCTGAATTTTCCTAGCGATTTCCCGTGGAATGTGAAACTAATTGCAGCTGGATTCGGGTGGGTGGAAAACGCAATGGCATACAACTAATCAGAACGGAAAAAGAGCAGAAAATTCGGGGAATGGAAATGGGAATTGGGAATGGGTGTTTCTGGCGGGGGAAAAGCCAAAAGAAAAACGATTTCAATAAATGTCATAAATTTGTCGGACAACTTTACAAAGGGGTGGGGGAAGTGGAAAAGCAAAGGAAATGGCTTTTCCCCAACACTCTCTCCGCTCACCCTCCCCCTGATTATAGCCTGCTTTGCTGTCGGCTTGTAATCGCTTTCATTACAGCAGAAGAGGCAAAAAAGGAAACTGACCAAAAACGATAAAGTAAAAAAGCAAAGCGGGAAAGGAGCAAAATCCAAAATGTTGTAAAAATGCAAAACCTACATGGCCATTTCCACAAAAAATAAAAGCGAGCGAGAAACGTCCAGATTTAGTACTGCTTGCACTTTTTGCATTTTTCTCGTCGTTGGCAGTCATTTATTTGATTATATTTCTATTTTTTATTTAAACTACTGTCCTGTAGAGAATAGATCTTTTATAAATATCTTAACCATTTTTCTGCGGTCTCGGTGGGATTTTTCTTATCTTTGTTCATTTTTGTTATTTTTTTTTTGTACGTTGCGGCCACTGCAGAAATTTGGGACACAACAAAGCCAAAGATGTAAAGTGAAAAATCTCATTTATATAGGTATGTTGTGTGTATCTGTACATTGTCATGGGAGCTGTCGGCTATATGACCTCATTGCGGTTATGCGTACATGTCTTAAAGTAAATGTTTCAGGAATCGAAAAACAATGGTGTGCAACGGATATGCCAATTAGCAGAAAAATATACCTAAAGTTATTCTTCAATGATTTGTTTAGGCAGAGAAAAGGTTTTGCTTTCATTTTAATTTGTTATTTACTGTTTTTTTTTTGTATTTTTATTAAGTCTTAATAAACTTGGTGATATTTTTATATACTAGTTTTTAATAGAAATCCAGCTTTAATTGCAATTATTTTTCATTACACATCAATAAAAGATTTAAGAGAAAAGCAAATAAAAAATACAACTAAAATACCTGGAACGTAAATAAACTAGATAACTTCTATACACATAAGACCTAAAACAATAAATGCCCAAAGCACACATTTATTATATATAGTGGTGGATTTTTTCAGACCATCCAAATAGTTATGATCAATTAAAGAATTTTTGCGCTGAGTTCCCCAAGGTAAAAGCTCAGCAAAGAAATATGGAGTCCCGTTGGGTATGCATTTAGTTTTGGCAAATTGCTAAATATTTTCGTTCTATGATTTCGTATCATGTTTTGCATTAAACTGCACTTGTTTTTCAGTATGCAAAATTTTCATTATTTGCCTACTTTGTTAACGGAAAATTCGACTATGAAATGGGCAGACTGCATTGTCAACGAAAAATAGTTGAAATTGTGTCTAATCTTTGGCGTTTTGTTATCAGATATATACGTATGTACGCTGCCTGTGCTGTGGGTTAAATTAGCGAAATTACAAAACAGACGGCAATCGATGTTACACAAAAATCCATTACTAAAGGTGGACAGCGCTGTCGCAGCGTCGCTGCGATGATGCCGACGTTGACGTCAACCTTCGCAGCAAACTAAAAGAATTTGGTTCAAGTGCCAAATGAAATATTGACTAGGCAACGAGGACCGCGAAGATGAGACTCTGAGACTCTAAGACTGAAAGACTGAAAGACTGCGAGTCTCTCAGATTCTCAGACTCTCAGACTTTAGGAATCTGGGCATATGGCGGCGCGTGTGTGGCCAGCTCCTCCCATTCCACCAGTCAACCCAATCGCCGACGCACATCGCGTTGTTGCTGTAAAATAATAATAAACATGGCAAATATTTATTCCTTCGTGACTACGCGGTAGCATGCGGGGCATAGTGGGTCCACAAATGGCCTATATGTTCTTATTTTGCATTTTATTGTAACATAAATATAATTAAGGTGTCTGGTACGCATATGGTGTCATATTTGTAGCTATTTCTTATGAGTTTTCTTGGTTCAAAAACAATTTAATGAGGATGTTTTAGTTTATTATTTACCATTTGAACTTGGATAAAAAAAACGATAAAACTAATATTTTTGTAAATGTTTAAAGTAAAATATTTTGTAAGACTTTTTTGAAAAAGCAATTTTATTTAAAGATTTTGTAATATAACATTTAAATGAAAAGCTATATTTTAGACATTAAAATTTATTTATATTGGAAAAGGTATCAGTTGTTTAAAAAGTATATTATTTTTGTAAAGCATATAAATTTGTTAATAAAAAAAATAAACAAGTAGCAAACATAATTTTTATGACTTTGGTAAAAGAACCAAACGAAGGGTATTTGAGTTGTCGGTCCCAAAGATTTTCCAAGTTCAACGCGTGTTTAGCCTGCGAGAGCAACGATGTTGCTGGTGGGTTGTTGCTGCTGCTGCTGCTGCTGCTCCTGATGTTGCTGCCGGGCTGTGATGTGTGTTGCTGTTGGCGCTGTAGTTGCGACAACTACATAAACAGCTGTCATGGCCCTGCGACCGCTGCAGTCGGTGCTTTTTGCTCTTCAGCTTTTTCCTCAGCGTTTTTCCCTCTCTTTCTGCCTGTCGGCGGCCGTCTCTTTCTCTCGGCCTCGTGGCGTCTGCTTCTTTCTAATAATAAATTGCCAAAGAATTTGTGTTTGCCTGCAGCGGCAAACATGTCTGCTTTTTTTATTTTCTATTTTGCCTGCCTGCCTGCCGCGCATCTTAAAGGTGCAATATCCAAGTCATTTTTCACTTTCACTTTTTATACGTATACGTAATTTTCCTGGCCTTTGTTTTTGTTGCGAGCGATAATCAGCTTTAACATAATGTGAATTTTTGAGCACTCGGGGAATTCTAGTTGGCTATAAACTTGGATGGCTTGTAAGAGGCGTCAAGGTTAGATACAGTGCTTGTCAATTTGTAAGGCAATTCTCAAAAATTAGACAATTAAATTGGATAAAGTCGTGTAAGCTCTTTTTGCATAAATTACTTTTATTTGTATATTTGCCAAAATACCTAAAATTGCTTTGAATTTAAGTTTTGCATTTTAAATATCTATCTATTGTCTGGCTGACATATCCTTTTTGTCCTTAGACAAGCTATTTTCATTAATGATTTGTCTTTAATTATGTAACTTAAGTGTTTATTTAGGTATTTGTAAACGAAGGAACTAAGTATTTTTATTATGTTAAAATATTTAAAAAATGTTTTTTCGATTATAAAAGATTTTTAAGAAAAAATTATAAATTTGTACCTTTGCAAATAAATAAATGTCCAAAATTATGAGTTTTTATTAAGCTGACAGCAATTTCTATTTCCGTTCATGTACTTTTTGGGCTGACTGTTGAAATTCTTGGAAAATTGTGTCGCCAAAAGTTTTCGTCATCCTCTTGATCGCGAATGCCCTTAATTGAATTCGTTTGCCTGCACCGGGAAATATGTGGGAAAAATAAAATAATATAATATTTGAAATGCCCATTCGCAAATTGTGCAAGTTGTACGTGTTTGTTGCTGCTTTTGCTCCATTTGTTGTTGTTATTGCCGCAGAGGACAACAGTGGGAAAGTGGGAAAAATGAACTGAGCTGCAGAAAGTTTTTCCCTTGCACTGAGCGTTTTTCAATTGCTCCGAAAACTATTTTACTTAAGTTTAACTTTCACTTACCAATGGTGGCAAACTTTCCACGGTAACTGTATACTGTATGACGGCAAAGAGGGGATCAAGGGAGGTACACCATAAATGTATTTTTCGGGTCAGGTCAATAGAACCTAGTATGTATTAGCTTTGGGGTTAATTTAATTTCAGCAAGCAATTCAATATCTTACTAAGTTTGTTTTATTTTTTATTGAAAAAGATATTGTAAAGCACTGCTTTTATTTGAACTTAAAATAAAGAACATTTTGAGTGCAATATAAGTTATATTTACTAAATGGAAAATAAAATGAATGGCTTTTTAAACAATTTGTAGATATGAGAACGCAATTTTGTTTTAGCATTTTTCGTCCTATTATTTCAACCGAAGCTGTATGCACTAAATGTGTCTGCATGTCTGCGTCGCTTTCCACTGCGAGATATTAATTAATAATTGAAATAACTGAGCTCGTTATAAAGTGAGGCACTTTTGGGCACGAAATGCCCTGGCACAAAAACACTCGCCCCTTCTACCGCCTACCACGTAACCACCCCCTAGGGGCATCCGTGTGTGCAGCAGTGTGTGTGCAGTTTCAAGTTTAATTTAAAGTTTAGTTGTAATTTGAACATTTTTCGTTGCGAGGGCAATTAAAAATTCAACGCGCAATCTACAAAATGAACCCCCAAACGAGCCGTGGGCAAAAAAACGGCGGCGGAAAAAATGTGAAACATTTTTTCCAGCCTGGAGGAATCATTTGGCAGCTTTCCACGACTCTCTATTTATTTATTTATATGATCTGCCTTAATTCTCGCCGCACAAATTAATGATGAACATTTTCTGCTTAATCTTTTGCAGGATAATCTGAAGTGCATAGTCAGGATTCAGCGATATTTTTGGGGAAATTTAAGGACTGGCACTGGCAAATTACAAAATAAATGGCTTATGATTCACAAACGATCTGTTAATCGTCTGGATTTTTGCGGTAAGTGTTAAATATGCTTATTAATTATTGCCGCAAAATATCCAAAAAAAATCCAACAAAATTAATCGCCTAAAGCCACAAAAATGTAAATCGCAAGGGAGTTTGATGTTTGCTTGTAAAACTATAAATTATGCGGCCACAAAACAATTGCCCTTATTAACAAGCATACAAAAAACACAAAACTAATAAAATACAAATAAAAAAAAATGTAATTGACAAAAGAAAAAATGCAATAAACATCGGATTTGAGCTCTTTGAATTGCCCTTTGGGTTGCTATCTTAAATGGAATTTAAGTTAACATACAAATTTATCTGCGTAATAAATGAATTTTATTTACGCTTGTTTTTGCATTTAAATTGAAGCCTTTTTAGTATTTTTGTATTTAATTACATTTTGAAAATAAATGAGGCGTTATGATTATTTCCCAATTAATTCTCTCTATTTACTTTAAAACAATATATTTACTATATTTACATAACAGAACGAACTGTTTTTCTTTTGATTTTTTGATTTCTGTTGTGTTCTTCAATACTAACTTAAGCTTAACCGCTTATTCAAAGCAATATTTAGATAATTTAAATAATACTTTTTTACTACATATAAACATTCTTTAACTGCAGTCCATAGCTTGAAAGATTTTTATTTGCAATTTTGCTTTTGATTTTGTATTTGTTTTATTTGCAGTTTAATTTCTCTATTTCGTTTTGTCATTACTGTCACAAGCTAAATTGTATTACAAAATATTTTTGTTTGCACTTTTTGTATTCGTTTATTTGTGAAACTGTGAGTTTTGATAAAACCCTTTGCCATAACGAATAAGTTCACTGGAATATTTGATTCATGAACTGCTTTGAATTTAACCATTTGTATATAACTATTTTATTTAAAATTCGGTCATAGACGTATAGATTACTTAGTTGCAATATGTGAAGTTATTTGCATTTATCTGTAAAGGCCTAGCTCTAATTTCAATTTACATCTTTGGCCATTTGACGAAATTGGAATCCGTATGGATGTCAAAATTCGCAGGGTTTTCCTTGGTCATGATGCTGCCAATGCAGCTGTGAGATGTTGTTTCATGTGGTGGGGAGGGGGGGGTGTATCTGTAAGTGGACACACGGAGTATCTATGTTTGTCCCACTGGGCGTATGGGTGTTTTTTTTGTGTCTCTTTATGCATATTTGTGTGTGAGTGGGCGGCGTGCGTGTGAATGCGAATGCGTTATATTCGCCCAACTGTGCAAAAACAATTCACGCGCCACTTTGCGCCGTAAAAAAAACGCGGAGATATTTAATACATACACACAGCGACATAGATATATGCACCATGTAGCCGGTGAAAGCTGAGCGCAACGCAACGCAACCAAAAACCCATTTTGCATTTAAAGTTTTGGGCATTTTATTGCTCCGTCCCGTTTTGCGGGTAATGCAAAAAGTATCCTTAGCCGAGGTTCTTCCATGTTGTTTCAATTTCGCCTCCCCAATTTTTTCTGTCGGCTATTTTTTGGGCTTTATTTTTTGGCGGTCGTCGAATGCCCCAGTGAAATATGATAAAAGTCAGACGCGACGCAACGCGGTCCTCCGCTGTGGCGCTTTGCGTTTTGATTTGTGTCGCTGACCCAAAAAAAAAAAATAAATAAGGGGACAGGAAAAAAATACTTTAAAACACATGGGAAAGCTGTGAAAAAATGGGGTTTTTTAAGTTCCTGAACCTATTTCTTGAACTTTCAACTTGGTTTACTTTTTATTATAAAAACAGCTAATCGTGGAAATTAATAAAAAGAGAGCTTAGAGAAAATAAGAAGGAAAGTTAAAGCCGAGTTTTGTTAGCTATCCTATTTCTTGAAGCTCAAACTTAATTTGTTTTAAATACAAACAGTCTTTCTACAAAAAATAACATAAAAGAGATAATATTTTAAAGAAAGTAAGAAGTCGAAAGTATATTTTTACTTTTAAAAATATTAAGTTAGAAAAAATTACTAATTTAGTCATAACTTGGCCAAAGTAATAATCTAACATTCCCCGCCACTCTTCCAAAAACATTTTTTATAACCAAATTTTGAATTTTTCAAAAGGTCATGCATCACGTTTCTTATTGGAAAAATTTTTTAAAAATATATCTTTTCAGTTTTGAAAGCCAATTGATTGAAAGTCTTAGACCGTGTAGATGTAAGGCATTTTGTTATATGATCACTTTTTGTCTTGTAAATGCCCAAATACTGATTTCTTTTCATTTAATTAAAATTTAATTTTCACCAACCATGGCTAAATATGAACCATATAACATTATTGTACATAAAAACACTTATTAAGACATTCACGCAATTCACATTTAACGGAAATGTAAAACATACATCATCGTATATCAATCTAAAGTAAAAGCTACAACTAGCCATGAATAACCATCAAGGACAATTTTTGCCGTTCTGATTTAGTGACTTGGGGGGATTTCCGCGAGATTTTCCGGCCCCACTTGGGACCACCAGGGTACCAGCGGAATATCAAGGATGCTTATCGACAAATAAATTCTTTGCCCTGTCAAATGCCCGGCAGCAGCCGAAGTGGGTGGCCCAGCGGTGGTATATGGCGGGATATAATAAATAGCCTGACATAGTAATGCCACAGACACTAACTCACAACTGTCGCACTGTTGTTGGGGCCCACCGAGTGCTCGACCGAAAAGTTGACGCCTATAAAACGGATATGGATGTGCACCAAACTGTGGCATACTTTTCTGTAGCACCAAAACCACCATCCACTCCTCGCCGCTCCCAAAGTGTTGACAAATTTATGAGCTTGTTTTGCTTTTTCGCAATTTTTGTTCGGCTGATTGAAAGTTTTCTTTATTTTGCCGCCGGGCAAATTGATGACAATTGAAGGGAGAGTGAGCCAGACAGCTTAATCGTTCGTGTTCTATATTTGGATATATATTAATACTGGCTTTGATTGATTGAGAAAGTAAATAACAGTGCAGCTAGCTAGTCCAAATTGATTTCAATTGAAAATTGCGATATTTTTTTTTGCCTAAGGACATTTAAAAAGCTGTGATTGTTTTCTAAATAAGACAAAAATAGTAAAATCATTAATTCACACTCACATTGCTAAATTGTTTGAACAAGTGAAAATAAAATGCTGCAAAATCAATTTGCTTTGCAAAGGCGAACGGCCACACTGGCAACCTTGCCAGTCAGTCTCACTGCGTTGACTTATCATATAAACAAGATCGCTTGTATTTCTTGTATAATCAGTGAAACATTTATTTATTGCTTTGGAATAGTTAAATCATTAATACACACTTGCTTTGCTAAATTCTTTGAAAAAGTGAAAAAAAAATTCTCTAAAGCCAATTTGCTTCGCAAGGGCGCATGGCCACACTGGCAGGCAACGGCAAACCCAAAGTCCACCTTAGTTGCGCCTGGCGTCACAATTGTCGACGAGGCTGGCCAGACGGCAGGCCTTCAGCTGGCGATCGAACCAGGTGCCGCTGGGGCAGTTCTGGCGCCTCGACCTCTGCCGGTTGCACACGTAGTAGCGGCGGCAGTGGCGCACGTCGGCCAGGAAGGTTCCGTCGTCCTGGCCACGGCAGTCGTGGCGCGAGATCAGCACCTGGGCGAGATCGCGTTGCTCCTCTTCAGGGATTTCATCCGGAGTTCCGGGTGCCGGTGCGGGTACGGGTGCGGGTACGGGTGCGGATGGGGAGCACGTGGTGGTGCAGGGTGGGGTGCAGGGTGGGGTGCACGTGGTGGTGCAGGGTGGGGTGCAGGGTGGGGTGCAGGGTGGGGTGCAGGGTGGAGTGCAGGGGGGAGTTCTGGTGCATGGGGGAGTTCTAGTGCAGGGTGGTGTCCTGGTGCACGGTGGTGGAGTGCAGGGTGGCGTCCTGGTGCACGGTGGTGGCCTGCACGTAGTGGTGGTGCACGGTGGTGGCCTGCAGGTAGTGGTGGTGCACGGTGGTGGCCTGCACGTTGTGGTGGTGCACGGTGGTGGCCTGCACGTGGTGGTGGTGCACGGTGGTGGGGGTTCGCACGTGGTGGTGGTGCACGGCGGTGGTGGTGGTGCGCACGTGGTGGTGGTGCACGGCGGTGGTGGGGGTGCGCACGTGGTGGTGGTGCACGGCGGTGGTGGGGGTGCGCACGTGGTGGTGGTGCACGGATCCGGATCGTTCCTGGGTGGATGGGCCAGAACCTCCCGACCGCCGGCGATCGCCGCCAAACCGAATCCAATCAGCAGCAAGTGGTCTACAAGAAAAGCACACAGAAAAAAAAAAAAACAAACACTTGTTGAGTTTCCCGATCGCAGGACTTGGCTCGAAGCTACATACAAACTCTCATGTTGCGTTCGATAATGCTTCTGCTACTGCAGTTTCTACTTCTCTGCTGAATAACGAATGTGGTCTGCTCCAATTGGGCCTCTTTTTATATGTCTCGGCAGTCGATATTTTATCTGGGCCGGGAACAAGGCAAGCACTTCAGATCGCTTGAGTGCTACACGGAGTCATGATCCCCGAGGCTTTCGGCACTCTGCTAATTAATCGAAATAACACAAGCGTGTAGGCTAAGGGTTCCGTGCTTGGTCCATGTAAGCAACCTGTTTTTCACTTCTCAAGTGCAATGTGAGTGAGAAATACCTCCAAGTTTGCCTATGATGCTTTGGAAAAGTAACGTCATTTAATATTTCATTAATATCTTATTCGCAGTCTCTACTAATGAGGGAAAAACAATCATGAAGAAAAGGTAGAATTTAAATTAGATTAGTTCTTGAAATAAAATTGTAAAATATTATATTGTAAGTCATGTCATACTGCCGTTAAAGAGAACTTTCTAGATTTGAATATTAATCAGTATGATTAATATCAATATATATTAATATTATTAAGCAATAATTGAGTTCAACTGCTATTTAATCATCAATTAATTCAATCATTTATTTGTTAAATAGTATGCCATATACAAATTGTATTAAAAGCAACCAATGGCAGAAATGTTAGTGTTTGAATAACTTTGTCAAATGAAATATCAATATTTGTTAGCTAAATTGTTAAATAAAGCTTTTGATTTGGTGTTGAAAATCTAGATCTCCGACCGAGTTTTCCCCAGTGAACTCCATTCGAACATGCACTGATGGTATTGACATTTGGCTCAGAATCGGATTCGGGTTCGGGTCATTTGGCCATGCCATGCCGTACGCAGTCTGTAAAATAGTTGAAATTGCCTGTTAACTGATTTCGCAGGCCCTGCCCCTTTTGGGCCATTGCGCCTTGACTTCGGGCCAGTGCAAACAAGGGATTTCGGTTTATGGCCCCGGCCCGGAAGTGTTAGGCCAACCGGCCAAGTGGACAAGTGTCGGCCATTTGGCAGCCGATAAAAATGGCAAAGAGCCTAAGGGGGCGGGGCGTGTGTGGGTATGCGTTATAATTTCGCCATGAAACCACCCCCTTCCCCTCAAACGAGCAACCTTTCCTGCAGCGCGACTGTAAAAACAAAAAAATACACCGCCTTATTGCCCGTGTGTACCCGCGACCCGCATTTCCTGGACAGCTCGATGGGCGGGGAAAAAGCACTGGACAGTTGGCAAAAGTTTTGTAATTAAATATGGTTGTTGCAGTTAAGATTTATGACCGATTTTTATAACAATTACCCAGTCTTGCAGGAGCTTAATGGGCAAAATGAACAGGAATGTAAACAGTTGTATTACTTCAAAGATTTCGAAACGAGAAAACTATTTATTTAAATATTATATAGCTTAAAAGACAATGAAAACAAACTGCACACAATCAAATGTAATAGAATATTTCCTACAAATTAAGGAAAAAAAAAATTGCATTTTGTATTTATATAAAAGGCGTATATTAAAAGCTAAACATGTTTTAAATAAACACATAAAACAAATTTTTGGTTGGAAAAATGAAATTAAATAAAACAATAACGCATATTTAATTAAAAAGGGTACCATTTACGATGTGATATTTTTACAAACCTTTCACAATGCACAAAAGCAAATAAAGTAGCGATGACACAAATCTGGCCACGTTCACCCGCATCCGGCGTCAACCTTCAATCCCGCCACCCACTCTTGCCCTTTGAACCTAGGCGCTGCGATCGTAAATAATTATTTATTTAAAATGTAGAATATTCCCAAACGGCATAAGCAAACAGAATCAATTGTTGTCGCATTGGAATATTTATGCTCGCATTTATATTCCGACATCTGTTGGGTTTTTGGAGGAGCCTTTTGTCCGACTTTTTTGAGTTGGGTATTGTTTTGAAACTGCGATAATTTAATTTATATTCAAAGTGTGGAGTGTTTTAAAGCCCTTCAAAGTCAAAGCCCACAACTTTCATTTGTTTTGGTTCAATTGGATTGAGTTTAATTCACTTTGTTTCATTCACTTAGCACTCGTAAAGCTACACCCTCGCCAGCAAACACGACTTGGCCATTTGCCGAGCAAAATTACTCATACGCAGCGTGTGATGTGAATATTAAAAAGCAGCAAAGTTTATGATAAATCCGCCTTTCTTCTCTTCGTTTGCGAGTGTGCAGAAGTGTTTATGTACACTTTTATACGTACAAGTGTATGTGAATAGTTGGCGAAACAATCTCGGATTATGAATGAACTTTGGCCAGTTGGTTTAGACGGAGATATGCACAAAATAGTTGAATTTCTTCGAGATTATGAATGAATCACTTTGCGGCTAAAAAGTTGGCTGTGATTTAAGCGATAGTCGAGAAACTTTCCAGACGCGAAAGTGGTTCAAAACTTTAAGGAGTCTAATCATTGCCAGGGTTTCTAGATCATTTTAGTTGCTTTTGGCTTGCCTATAAACTTGAAATCCAGTTGGATGAAAATGTATGGCTATACAATTTTAAAGAAAATTAAATGCAAATGACAAGCTTAGTTATTTTTAAATTATTGTCCATCGAAGTCTTTTTGTCATCAAAAAAGAAGGTTTTTAAATGTTTTATCATCCTCTGTTACTTCCCTTTCTCAAGTAAATTATGTGGCAAATTGAATATAAAATATATTTTTAAATATTTCCGTATACACACGACAACCCAATTATTTACTTTGCTGCTAGAAGTGGCAGCTTCACCTTTGCAAAGGGGCTTTTTCACTTATCTCTGACCAGCCACGACCATCTCAATGAATTAGTCCAGCAACATAAATTAAGCACTTAAGTGTTGTAAAGTTTTTCCTTAAGCGGAGGCAGCTTCCTTCCTTCGTAAAAGATGACCTCGCCCAACAAAAGACAAACAGAGACACGGCTCAATGGAAATGCCTGCCCATCTCTCACATCTCACACCCCCAGTTTGAGATGAAGAATGGGAAATTAAATTAAGCACACACACACACGCCTGTTTGTGCAAGGAAGGATTGGATTTAAGGACTGTTTGTGCAAGGACATTGTATCAACAATTTCCAAGGCTCGAGTGTGTGTGCTACGAGGCATTGTAAAACTCATTAGTGAAGTGACCGGAAATCTTATGAAATCAACAAAAAAGTAAGAAACAAAGTAGCAACGAAACCAAAAATAAAAGACAACCTAAAAGGCTTCAGCTTATACTACACAAAGAAAAAGTATGGGTTAAACTATGTATTATTTTCACAAGCATTGTGAAATATATATTTATTTTTAAGTTTTGCAACGTTTTTTTTCTTAATTTACACCCGCAGATGTAAGCGTTTTTTTATTGAGAGCTAAGATATAATATAAAATTTTAATAATATATCGAAACAATATTAAAAGCTAAAAGCTTAGAGCTGAATAGCTCCAGATTTCCATAAGTTTACCAGACACATTTAAAAGATAAAGTTTTTTGTATATTTATATAATTTGATAAGTTTTGATTTGTTGTAATTTTGTTCTAAAGTGAAGCGGCTATAGCCTTTAATTTCTCTACGTGTGGACAAGGACTCTTGAGGGTGGCCAAGTGGGTGGTGGCCTGTGACAGGTTGGAGCAGTCATGCATGTACTTCAATTTTTCAGCAAAAATGAGTGCACATTTGACAAAACATACACTCGCTCACACCTTTCGGGGAGCCCAGAAGCCAAAGCCGAATCCCTGCAGGACATATGTCCTGTTCCTCCCAACCCCCTATACACCCTACCCACTTTACATGTTTTTTTTTTATCAGCTGCCGTGTGGAGCGGTCCAAACTCCAGGCACGAAAATATATGAAAACTTTGCACAAATATGTCCTGGCTGTCCGTGTGTGTGCGTGCCGCTGCCAGAGTATGGGTGTGTCTATGGTAGCCTAATTCCAGCTCATATTTTATAACAGCAGCAGAATCACTGCATCGGACTACACGGTTTTCTGCCAAGACAGCAAAATAAACCAACAGACAGCAAAAAAAAAAAAAAATAAAACTATGAAAGCAGCAAAAAAAAATAGCTGGAGAAAACCGAAAAAAATCTGTAAACAAGACAGACCTGGACAGGGAACAAACTGTAGGGATCCTACGTGAGAAGCGAGTATGGGTTACAGAACTACGGACTTATTGAGCCGAACAAACTATAGTGGGTTAAGGCGATTCACAAAATAAGTAACGAAGACGAACTGGCTCAATCGCAATCGCAAAGAGCAAATCTAGTAAAATATGTTTATGTTGTTTTCAAATTAAAAACGACAACAGTAATACTTGAAGACTTTTCATAAATATTTTATGGAATACTTTAGCTATTTAATAATGCGCTTTGAATTTAATCACAATGAAAAATGAAAAGCTTCACATATTTGATTTAATCCCATGAGAATTTAATTTAGTTTTGTTCAGCTCCACAAATTGTTTTGAATCTTTTATGCAAATCAAGAATTTTATATTAAGTTCTGACAATTAGTTGACAAAGCGCTGATACTATTACACTGAGAAAAAATGCTGGATTTTGGTTTTGGTAAATAAAAAGCAAATAATTCACATGTTGTATCGATCTTAAGAACACAATTATAGATTTCTTGTTGAACCTTTTCCACATCCAATTAAAATTCATGGTTCTTAAAACTCAGCGTACCATTGCTATTTATGCTTTCTTGAAAAACTTTTAAGCTATCGCTTAAAAAAATTCTTTTGTTGTACAACAATTTCTTTCTGTACAAAATTTTTCTATGCTATTATTATTCATTATTGGCAACAAAGAGTTCGTTCAAAGTTTCGCTTAAAATTGCCATAAAAACAAACGCAACAATAGCAATAAAAACATAAAGAAAATATTATATTTTCCATATAAATATATATGGGTATGTATAATTTCTGTGCATACATTTCAAGCGCACTTTTGTATGGCAAAAGTTTGAAGAACTTTTCTTCCAGGCCGGTCACTCCCACACCCGTTTCGCCGCCCACCTGCAGCAACTGCCCCTGCCGCGCCCCCCTT